AATTATGTAACCTGTTCAGAATTTTAAGGGTTGGGTTTAAGATAATTTGTATAAAGTTTCAATCTCAACTCATTCAAGTCTAATCCATTTAAATAAAATTCTCAATTGATCCCAATTCAATTTTCAATTTCATTTCGTTTTAAAACTTTTTATTAAGATATGTTCCTATATTGAAGGTATTAATTATTATTTATTTAACATCTTTTAGGATTTTTTATCTATCCATTTGTTACTTTTTTAACAAAAATATTAAGCAGAAATTCAAATTGTAATTATAAAATATGTTAAACTATTGAGATTAATCGAGTCAAAATCTAATCCGATCTAATCCGTTTTTAGTTCATTTAAGCTCAAAATAAACTCGGGTGGATCAAGATCCAACCCAATTTTTATTTCAATCCATTTTAATATTTTCAATTCAATCCAACCCGCCTATTTGACATCCTTACATGTATGTCTACACACAACATGCACAAATTTATTTCGTTCTAGTCATTATTACACTACTCTAGAAGTTCTAGTTATCTAAAATTGATTATTATCATTATTTTTTAGTAAGAAAAAATTATCTTTTTACATTTGTTATTTCCTATTTTGTTATGCTTTGAATTATTTTTTCTTTTGTGAGAATTTTACTAAGAACATCTTTTTAATCTCAACAATAGGGTTTAGACTTGTGTAATCTCTACCTTATTATAGTAAATTATTATAACTTTACAATTTACATGTTTCTTAAGAAATCACAAATAAAAGAATATTTTACTAATTTACCTCTTAATTGTTTTTTAAACCTTGCAAACTTGTCTAAAACTTTTAAAAAAAATAATCAATATCAAGGGTAAAATAGAATTATGTAATTAATTTTATTGTAATTGTGCAAAGGTAATTTAGAATAACCATTTTAGTGATATGCATAATTAGTATTGGGGTTAGATCTTGACAATTAATTATACTTTCAATAATTGAATGGGTTTTTTAGAATTTGTGTTTAAGAAAACACAACTTCTTTCTTAATTTACTGTATTTGTAAAGATGTGAAATTATACTTTTAAAAGTGCGTTGAAATCATATAATAAATATAATATAATAATAGTTACATAATATAGTAATTAAGAAAATATTTTTGTTGCCCTTAATATAAACTCAGAGTAGGTTTGGTTGAAAAAAAGTGTAATTTGGCAATTAGATATTTTTTAAATGGTAATTTTTTAAAAATTTAGTGCATGATAAATAGGTGGTGTTTATAAGAAAAAGAAGTGTTATTATTTATAACTATAACTAACATATTGTTCCTTAAAAATAGAAGGTATTAAATTAATAACTAATATCTGAAAAAATAACGGGCATCTTGATTATATTCCAAATAAGAAATATCTTTAACTTAATTATTCCAGATAAGTGATATCTTAAGAAATACTCCTAATTTAAGTTAAAACAACTAAAATTACTCGGGTTTCGTGCAAGAATTTATCGTCATGGAATATATAAATAATACTTAAAATCAATTAATTATTAAATTAAAACAATATATTATCTTACATACAAGATTATGTGTTGTTCATCTTGTATTTTAAACATACTTAGAACAAAACTTTGAACATCTTTGTAACAATACAAAGTTTAAGAACATTTTCACAACTAGAAAATTAAAACTAATAGTGAAACTAGAATCAGAAACAATTTTTTTTAAAAAAATATACGAAATATTTTTCTTAAAAAAGAATTGTTGTTAATATGTGTCTAAAGAATCTTACTGATTCCAACAAACTTTGCAGAAACACGAAGTTACCAAGTTTAATGAACCAGTGAAGAACAAAAGAATAGAAGAACTAAAATTAATTCACAAATGTAAAGTTTGTAAAATACGTACCAGAATCTGAAAAATTTTTAATAGGAAAAAGATCAAGTCCACTGAATTCACAGTGTCCCTCTAAGGAAATTATTCCCCTCTAGTATCTGAGGTTTGATTTGGAATATGACTTCCCAGGGTAAAATGATCTCAATCACCAAAGTATAAATACCAAAAACTCCGGTGTCAACGAACCACTCAACGGCAGTAAAGTACACTTAGAATACTAGATTTAGCAGTTGAAGAAGAAATCCATGAATTCTATCTTAAAATGAGAGAAAATCCCTCAATTTATAGAAAACAAAGGATAGTGCGAAAAGATTCTTATTGTGCCTTGACGGAAAGGTCACAAACCTTTGGAAAAGTTACAATCTTTCAGAAAGGTCGTCACTTTTCATAAAAGTCGCAACTTTTCATAAAAGTCGCAACATTTCATAAAAGTCACAACTCTTCGTAAAAGTCGCAACTCTTCATTTTCCATTCACACTTTTTTTTAAATCCATTATTATGTAGTAACAAATATTAATAATGTAAAGAACAATGAAAATTATTACATTTTATCATTTATTCTTAATAATATAAGCATAAGTTAATGACTGAAAAAATGCAAACCAACATCTGTAACATAAACAGTGTTGTCAATGAGTCACTCAACATGAGCAAAATATCGAATATTTATTTGTGAAAAAGAAGAAGAAGAATTTTTTATGTTTTAAAATGAGAGAAAATTTCTCTATTTATAGATAACAAAGGGTAGTGTGAACAAATATTTATTGTGGCTTATCGAAAATGTTATAACTATTTGGAAAAGTTGCAGCCCTTTGAAAATGTCACAACCTTTCATAGAGTCGTAACTTTTCATAATAGCGGCAACTCTTCATTAAAATTGCAACTTCTCATAAAAATCGCAACTCTATATAAAAGTCAATATTTTTTATAAAATTCACAATTTTTCGTAAAAGTTTTATCTTTTCGCGAACGGAAAAGATTAGTTTTGAAAATAAATAAATTTTTAAAAAATGCTGGCACGCAAAAAGGTTTGAATTTTGGTTTATTAAACCCGGGAAACCGCCACAGGGAAAGTTCAAATAAGCGGGACGAGGGTTTCTAATTTTTACTCTTACTCTTTTGGATCTCAAGCACGAAGCTTCTTCTCATCAACACTTCACCGTCTTCCATTTGAGTTCCATCGGATTCCGATCACAGGTAATTCCCGACTAATCTGTCCGTCGCCTTAGATACATCTCCTGAAATTTCAAATGCTCAGTTACGTATAATGTTCTATTTCCATTGAAATTGATAAATATGAAAACCCCAGGCGATTTCGTCAAACTTTACAATTATTATTACGAGCTAGACATTCTGATTTATCTTCTATATTAGTTTAACTTACAGTAATTAATTACATTTTGTCTGTTCTTCATTTGATCTGGTAAAGTTAGTAGTTTGCATCTTATAATTTATTGCAGTGATGAAGTTGATTTTTCATGAAAACATTGAGTTTAAACCGCCTATTTTGGATATTAGACCGTACCTATATTATTCATTTTTGGAGTTAAACAACTAATAATTACTTTGTTTAAATTGAGTTATGTTATACCAGGAATGAGGAATGCTGAAAATTTATATAACGAATCCTACCTTTTTGTTGAAGATGTCAAGTTTCGCCAATTTTTTTTCCTGAACAGTAGAAGTCTAAGATATGTCAACTTATTGAATCTCATCAAAAGGTTCAAGCTATTAGAAAATGAGCACTTATATTTATTTAAGTAGTATATGTAACACGTCATTCACATGCGGGTTTAATTATTTGTGGAGTAGCAGTGAGGTACAAACAAAAATTCAGCACATAGAATTGTGTAAGCTTGTCTTATCTAAAAGTTTAATGCATTAGAGAAGAGACTCTCTTTTACTTTACTATTTACATCTACCACATGTAGAGACAGGTCTGTTGCCCCTCAAGCCTTTTAGAGAATGTAAACTTCGTTTTATATTTGATTAGGACTATGGCCTTGCTTATAGAAGATGATGATTCCTGTATTCTGTTATCTAATTAACTGGAAAAGATCCGACCTTCCTGATCATCTGCTTCTTTCTACTTTCAATTAGCAAAGAAATGAGACTAAACCAATTACGCTGAACTCCCTAGTATCTAACAGTGCTAAAGGAGGAAAAGTGATTTTACTTCTCAAGTATGGCATTCCAATTGAAATACTATTTTAATTTTCGATAAGGTTGAACTGTGAATTTTCTTGAGAGAACAGCCAGACTATAAAGAACAGCAATTACTGGGTGATTGAATGTTATTTTTATTTGCTGTTTCATGCTGTCATGCATAGACAAACTTTGTATTATTGGAAACATATTTTAAGAAATATACGAAACTACTCATGTGGTGGTGCTGAATCAGTAAGATGTTAGTATAGTTCATTAGCAAACAACCACAAGAGAAAGACATCTGTTGCCTAAGAATTATGCTGTTACTGAATAATGTGCCAAGCTAATCCACCCGTGAATTCATTTCAACACTATAAAGAAGGTACACCACAACGATACAATGTGTAATATTATCACCGAACTTCCCACTTTCCTAGATTACAGACTCGATATACTTGAAATTATCTTTCTTGGGATGGCCTGTGTGTCAAGCCCCACTTGTGGGACTTCACCGGTTTGTTGTTGTAGATAGGCTAGCAAAAAAGGTTCACTTTTATTGTGATATACCTGGGAGGTGAATGTTAAATATGACAAATTTACATTTTTTCAAAAGTTCAGGTTTTGATTGAGAGGAGGAACCAGTGGAAATCACTAAGAAGGGAGGTGATATCTGTACTACAATAAACATGACGGAAAAATATTCACAAGAAATTGTAGAATGGGAGTTCACACTGTTGGAGTTTGTTTATTAGTGTTACTGGTAATTCTTGATGCCCCTATGAATGTGCTCTTTTTCGCCTGTTACATAAGGAAGAAGTAGGATTGAGTCACATTTACTATAGTTGTGCTTGTATGCGAGTAGGTTGTGATAAAATGACATACTCAAATTCTGAAACTCTGAATATAACAATTAAAGCTAGGAACAGTGAATTTTGGAATCATTGGACTGCTTTATGACATGTTTCTCCTGTTCAGGGTATGCTTGCCGTAAACAACCTGACAGGCACAAACCTCTCTCCTGTCGTCCTGTTTAACTATCTTAGGCATGCAACTTTCAAGGAAAAAAAATCTTCTACTGTACTTGGCCAATTCCATTGGCTAAGCTTCTTTAGTGGAAGGTTCCTAGTGTTTCTCTTCCCATTTTTTCTGTTGCAGATTCATCACTGATTTTAAAAATCAATCCGGTAGACTTGCATAGGTCACTTGCTATCTCATGGTTTCTTACTTTTTCTTCTTTATGAATAGAGGTGGATTTTATTCTTTATCTGTTAATGCATGTATAGTGAAACTAGCATCATGAACAGCATAAAGAAGGGGATTTTTATTGAATAGCATACCAGCACAAGAAGAAAGGAGATACAGTAAAAACTAAATTCATAGCCTTCATCTTGTCAACATAAGAGATAGAGGGAAAACTCAAATTGTGGCCACCATCCCAACAACAAATATATAACAAGGAAATCAAAACCACAGCCTTATCCCAACCAGCATAACTTCCATTTTAATCTGATTAGTTATTCATTTTGAGGTAAACCACTGCAAGGTTCATTTTCAAGAGCTCTTGAGCTAGGACAAGGACTACTTAGCTGCATGCCAGTGATCATTTTGCGAAGTTCTGAAGTTTCGTTTTTCAGTTGAGCATTTTCTTGAAGTACTTGATCATGGCGCTCAGAGGCATGATTTAGTTTGTCCAGGAGCTGGTGATTCTCATTTCGGAGCCAAAGAACCTGTGCCCAAAGCTCATCTAGGTGCCTCTGCTTGCGCATGCGTGATCTCCGTGCAGACTCTCTATTCGATATCATTCTTCTCTGTTTACGTTCATTTATAAGAGTCCACTGTTGCTCATCAGCTTCATCAGATGTAGAGTTACTGTTGAAACATGTTAGTTGTGGATTGAGGTCTTGAACTTGAGGAGTGATCTGAAGATGATACAAAGGATTTAAGACCGTATTTAGCTGAAATGTGGATGGGTTATAGTTCACACAAGATTGAGATGGGAATTGAGTTGGGTTAGAAGGAAGTAGGTAATAGAAGTCTGTGACATCAGTGGGTTGCATGGCTTAAAAGTATATTAGTTTACAAGGACAATTTTTTGATTTAGATCTTAATGGAGGGTCAAGCAAAAGAAATTGGCTTTGAAGTGCGAATGATAACGTGAGCAGGAAGGGGGCTACTTATAGGATTAGGAAAAAGTTAAGACGGTCCCATATTGTATCAATTAGATACAGTACAGTTTCTCGAAAATGAAATCATTATAATGTAATCCTGAACATGTGCATGTGCGTATGATAACATCTGAGGGTCATATGGAGAGAATATTTACTCCATGAATATATGTTTTACTTAATCTGCTACATGGACATATACTCGACAGGAAGGGCCATCCAGGTAGACCAACTCAGCATTATTGCCAGGCCAATACAATCCATGATGTTTTCGCTCTATGATGGGTTTTGACAACAATGGTAACTGCCGTAAAAGAATAGTTTATGAGGTTTGTGAAGGCAAACCATATTTTGTAAGTGGAAAGATCATACACTTAATAAGTTGATGACTCAACAACCACAACATGATTTAAAAATACACATAATATGTGCATAGCTCCTCCTATGCATAACAATAGTGACTTACAATCACCGGTGGTAATATAGTTGTGAATATGAGGTGCTTCATATTCATGCTAGTTGCATTAGTCACCATAAAAGCTCTAAATTGTCATCGAGGAAAGGTGATTTTCTGCAGAGCTTGTTGCAATTAGTCACTGTACACTCTCTTTATCATGTTTAAAGTCGGAGTAAAGTTTAGAAAATGTGATTGTATTTCCAACCTAATGAACCGAATTGAAAGTGATTCTTCTATTTTTTTGTAATTTAGGAAAATAAACTCATCATAAACTAGATTCAATATTTCAAAGCATTCAAGAAATCAGATTGGGAAGTATCAAGCTACTTGATTAGTTTAAAATAACTAGTGACTCCTTATTGTTTTGTGCTTAATTCCTCTTATTTAGAAACACCCACTCACGATTGATTAATCTGAAGAAACACGTTAAGCTTCTCCCAGCTTTGTAAAATAAAAGTTCTGTTAAGACCAGTAAGATGATTAATAATTTTCCCGGAAAAGGAGAATAAGAATAACTTCAGCTTATTATAGTCAAGATAGATTCAGCGCTTTCCTCCGAGTTTTTTATAGGGTTCCTTATGGTCTCAGCAAGAACTTGCCTCTATGCTTTTGCAGCAATTGTTCTCTGCATTTTCCTCTGGCTTCTGTTTTAGAGGTCAAAATTTCTAAGCTGTACACAGTGTCTAGATTTACTCATACGACTAAAGTCATGTTTTTCGGTTGGTGGTGGAAGGAAGAGGTGGTAAGATATGGATGGGCTTTGAAATCCAGTCTTCCACTATGAAAAAAAGATTTCCAATGCATCCAAAACCAGAACTTCCTCAGTCCTTAGGGATAATGCTCTACCCCTTTCAGGTGGGTCTGTTGAGTGGACTGAATGGTCAAGAATATAATTACACAAGTATTGACTCCTCTTTCTATTCCTGTCTTCAAATTGTTTTGCCTTTGTTGCATTTCTTTCCGTCCTATACTTTATACACTTTAGCTTTTAAATGAACGTCCTTTCCTATATGACCATTTCTGGTGTTTGGGTGATTGATATAGATCACCGCAGAGTGTACCTATACATATACGGTACATTTGGATTTATCTTGTATCGAGGACTGTTTGAGCTGGACCTTGTACATTTTAGTATTTTGCCATCAGGTTCAGTTAGTACAGTCCCAATTAATTCTCTGATCTTCTTGTTTTACTCTCTTTTGGATGTGTTTTACATACTAGGACTCGAAATCAATTAAATTTTTTAAATATTCAAGAAAAACAACAATATTTCTACTTGCTCGGCAATCAACTTAGGGTGGAGATACTACACATGGAAAGTGAGAAAGACCCTAGATTCATTTCATGTTTATACCTTTATATCTTTAATTGATGTCCTTGCGGAAAATTTATGCCTTGGATGTCGAAATCTGTTTGGTGTCCTCTCATTTGGTACACTTTTGAAATGCCTGTGTTTTGAAAAAAAATACAATTGAAAAAGGTGTACTTTATGTGTTCTTGTCGTCTTCAGAAAAGAAAAGCTTGCTAGGTTGGAAACTCCTTGCAAAAGTAAAATTTATGATTATTAGGGTGTTTTTCTTATGTTATTGGTCAAAATGTCAGAAAACTATTTTCTTTAAGAAAATAAATAACTTTAAAATATGAAAAATAACTTTTCTAATAAAAGTTGAAAAAAAATATTACACAAGTGATCTTTCGAATTTATTGTCTCCTCTCTACCCACCTAATCCTCCAACTCCTATCCCTTGATCATCCCACCCACATCACACTGATTCCCCACTCATCATTCCATCTTGCCTCGTAGTGTTTTGCCAGATAACATATGAAAAGCAAAAAATCTATATATTTTTCAAGAAATCATTTCCATGGAAAACATTACTAAAACACCACAATACTGAAAGATATTGCCCACTTAAGAAGCTGGTGCATGTCAGCATATCTTATTTATCTTCCCGTAATTACGGCCATATCCCGCTATTTTACCCCTTATACCCTTCAAATAGCAAATCTTTCTCATCAGAAATACCCAGGAATACAAGTTATTGGGACAGTGCCCTAAACTATCGGCCAAGGTCTTGCACAAAGGGTACTTGATTTAACATCAGCCTCATTTGATATCAAATTCTCTAGATTATCTGTTAAAAAGGTACAAAAGCTGGTAGACAAAGAAAACAGAGATGCACGGTAGGTTTCTGCAGGGGGACCCTGCTAGTAGGGTGCGCGTGGCTGTCGTGTGCAATCCTATGGCCAATTGGCTACCAATCACATCAAACAGAAGCCATAATTTTTGAATGCTTCAGGTGCCGTGGTCATGATGATGGGGAACTCAATTTTGTGGTACTGTCACTTGTACCTGATATGCCCATTATTGCACCCCACTGACGTACCCTATTCAACTTCCCTTTCTTTTCTTCTTTCAAAAGGTAGTGAGTGCACATAAGTTCTTCACAACAATCATGTGTTCAACCCAATCAAGTTTTTGTCCCGACTAGCTGGGAATTGTGGCTTAGTTTTACTTTGCTTTTGGTCATTTTTAATTTCTTCACCCTTAAGCCTCAATAATTGATCATCTTTTAATTATTAGCTTTATAATTTATTTGACTGGTTGATCTTGATCATCATAAAATTAATCTGCATGACGGACGGGTACTCCATTTGAGTTCTTATTGAAGGTTGGCTCTCTAGTTACCAAGTGAAGGAATTTATCGAAGCCTGACCTTGCCCATTACTTTATTCTTGGGCTCGTTGTGAGTGCTGAAACAGATTTTGGAAAGACTTTTAAGCCATCAAGCTCTAAAAATTTGAATTGGGATGAAACTCCCAGGATCTTCTAATGGGCAGAAAGTGACTTTAGAAAGAGACAATTTTTGATAATTTTATTATATACACTACTACTTAAAAGTTGTGGTTGTGTTAATGTAACTGTTTTGGCCTTTTTGTGATGCAAATCAAGTTTTAAAATCAGGAACGGATAAGAATGGGTTTGTGTTGAATAAAAGCAGAGAGCAAATTAAAGTTACTTTATGATCTATTTCGTCACGACCTTAGTACATCTGTTAGCGATTCTAGACCCAATTGATAATTTTTTAGCTTTAAATATAGGGCCACTTTGAAATATATTGCTAGTCGTACTAAAACAATTTTATTAGTAATTGATTATTGGTTACTATCGACTTCTTTGAAGTCTGTACTATCCATTGCTTGTTTAATAAAAATTCCTATCAACCTTTTTGTTATGGCTTTGTTTTACTTGCATGCATAATCAATCTATTTTAATTGTTAAGAAAGTTGACACATCCAAGTTAGTTCACCAAGCTAAGAATTTCCTTACTGGGACTGTTCCATCTTTTATGTTTAACACCATAAATAGTTAATCCAAAAAGATAGATGATTAATTGTTATCATTAATTAGGTCGTTGACTATAAATAGATTGGTCAGGACAGGATAAGTTCTTCATGTGCTTACCCTTTTTCATCTCTTTTTTTCAGCTTAAAGTAACGTTAGAAGGGACTATTAAACTATTACCAAGTTGAATGCTTGTAGCTTTTGTTGCTTAACATGTTTAATAAAATTGACATCTCAAGGTGCAAAGCATAAAGTTTGATAAGTTGTGTGATGGTGCTACATTTCATTACTATTTACTTCGAGTTTTGGGCATATCATTGAAGTTTGCTTACGTACTTGTTAAGGTCTAAATCCACTATGAATTGTGGAGAATAAAGGTGTTTTAATTCTTCTTTAAGCAAATGGGTTTTCTCTTTAATTATTCATTATCCTTATGGTTTTGATGACTGTTGCTGCTGTTGTATTTACATTGTTCTTAGCCATTTATGTAAAGTACTAGTCTCTGAGAACGTATGTTGCAGACAATAATATATATTCATCACATATTCCACACAATCAAATATGTAACCCTATTGAAAGTCATCCTAACTATCCATTAGAGATGTTAATCTCTATGATATAGACGGAGAAACGCACATGTATTGTGAAAGAAAAGCAACTACTATATGATAAATGCTTGTAGAACTTTCACATATATACATATAAAATAGATATTAGGAAAGACAAAACATTAGTTATCTCAATTTTTCTTTTCAAGGAAATCAACATGACCTTTCTTTCATAATAGAAGATTATGTACTTTTTTTCTTGTAAAGATGGGTTTTATATAGGAGAAAATAATTAATTAAATTGGAGAATTGTAACTTAAACTTTATGTAAGAATTATTAAATGAAAGAAAGCGAATGAAGAGAACTAAAGTCTAAAACTTATGCCTTTACATATTTATCAATAGTTAAAGGCCTTGGTAAATGAATATGGTCAATAACTCAATATATTAAAGTTAGTATATTAAATTATTAATTTACCCTTCAAATTCTTTAGATTTTCTATTTTCAAAAGATGTTTAATCGATACAAATTTTATAGAATTATTTTATTAATCTAATTTTTTACTTTCTTGTTTTACATTATTAATATAATATGATATGATATTTGATAATTGATATGATTAATGAAACTTAGAACCGTCAGAACCAATTATTCTGTTTCTTAACCCTCTTTTTATGATCCTGTCATTTGACTGAGAAATAATTATATATCACTATGATATAAATGGTGCGATAAATAGCTCAGTGATTAAGGTAGTAGAATGCATAACTTAAATCTGTAAGGTTGAAAGGAAAAGCAATACAAAAAAGGAAGTTAATAAACACTTAAGGTACATATGTAGACACAAATATGACTGATTTTTGTGTCAATTTTGTCAAGTTCATGTACAGTGACAAACAGCTCAATCAATTGCCGACATATTTATCTAAAAATATTCAGATAAAAAATCTTGGAATTTTATTTACACTGTTGAGATTTCAAGTCTACTGGAAATTTAGTTGCAGTAGCATCAAAAGTGAATTTGATGTGCACCCAATTCCAGAGACATTGTTGGTATGTGGCTGCTTCTAGTGTAGCTTTGTTTTTAGTGCTGCTTACTTTCTCTGGTAATTTTAGAATTATACTCAACATAACAATGATGAAAATATCTTTTATTGAAATTTATCCAATTTCTTGAGATCTTGGAATGAATCTTCATACTACTATACATTCTTAGGCTACCCTAAGAGACGTGAGGGAATGAAGCTACACTATATTTTCTATGTTTAGCTAAGGCCTACCTTCTTAACTAGGGCCATGAAGTTGCTACTTGATTAATAGTTGAACATATTTGGTAAACTTAGGGGCTTATATTATGCAATACCTTGAACTACAAGGACAAATATGACCAATTTATGTTGTTGTTCTGATCTACTGACCACTAAAATGTATCAAAGGGCCTGGTTTTTTACTCAACTTGTAATTTTTACTTTTGGAGAGTCTAATTGACTATTTTTAGTGTTGAATTGCATAGATTAATTTTACATGGTAAAACCATAATTTAGATATCTAAAGAAAAATACTATCAATTATAATTTTTCTCTTAATATGATAAACAAAATAATTATTAATTAAAATTCATATAATTTAAACTTTTGAAAAATATTAGTAGCACTTAAAAAGACTGCCCACGCATACAAATATTCAATCCAACTATGATTGAAAAAATAATTTTCAGTGCCCCACAGTTTTGAAAAATACAAAAATAGGGGGGGTAGAATGTTGAACCAGAGGCCACTTGCAAGAGGACTAAATTTTATTTGCTGACAGTGGTATATGTCTATAACTACAGTACTAACAGCAGAAAACGTTTGCCAAGTTATTTAAGTGAAAAATATCTTGACTTAGAAAACTAGGGTTGTGGTGGAATAGTGACTACTATTTCATTCTTAATCAAAATCTTCGATTCAAATTTAGTTGTGGAAGTTGGTCCAAACACTAAATGTGGATTTATTTGTTTCCCCTTAGTATATCTAAACACAAGTTAGACGAGTAAAGTTGTAATACTTTCCGTAAATCCATATTTAATGATTTGTGTCATGTGACTTGCTTCTCGGATTCGTTTATTTTGATTGATTCAAAATTCATGCATTATCTCAATATAGAAGCAGTCGTATTTGAGAAGAAATTAGCAACGTTTAAAGTAAATAAAGTAGCCATACTCGAAAGTGTTTTTCTTCAATAAAGTTCTCGTATACTGTAGTTTGAAAAACATTTTGCTTTTTCGACTCTCTTTTCTTTTTAAAGAATTCTTTTTTTCTTCTTCTTTATCTTTGCTTCTTCTTCTTTCTTTCTTTCTTTCTTTTTTCCCTTCCTTTTGGCAACATCCGAATCATCATCATATAATATTAAATCATAAAGAAGTTTAACCAACAATTCAGCATGCATTAGATTTATTATTGTACAGCCTGAAAATTGCAAATTCACATACAAAAGTACATTGACCAGAGTCATCCAGCAACCAAAATCTGAATTAGCTTGGCCAAAAAAAACAACAAAAACTTGGGTGTTGAATGCAGCTACCGTAATTTAGCTTACCTTTTATGAAAATGAAATAAAAACTGTTCTAATGTTTTGGCATTGGTCCAGTAAGATGCCAGTAACACTATTCATCAATATGAAACTCCTTTCGTCAAGGTTAGGCAATGATCAAGTAAGATTACAATTGCAGGTCTTCTAAAAAGGCATTTGATCACGTGGGCTCTCCTCCTGAACCTAAAAAGAGATGACCTTTGAAAGAAGACGGTTTAATTGGATAAAATTTTATCAATGGAGCCACTGACAGAAGAGGGCTATACTATTGATGTTTTGCTCGCTTGATCAGAAAATTACAGCAACTTGTGTTGTTTACGAATACAATTATTACCATTTTATTTAATAGGACGGAGGACTTCAAAGTAAAGACAATAATGAACTACCAAGTTAGCACATCCCACATTTTTATGGTCAATTTCCTTCTAGATCTCTTCCTATACCTTAAAAAATGTTTGAGAGAAGAAAGTATCTGGTTGGAGAAGGTGGTACTTGTCCATAGGTGGATGATCTGATCTTGATTATCATTCCCAAGACACCTAATCACCTGCCTTTTTAATTATTTTGAAAGAATAACTAAGTATGCCGTCACACAAGACCAATATACCTCCCATCGATACGTACTGCCTTCTGTATTTGTCCAACTTCTTCATAACCGCAGCTATGATTTAGAGTAGATACATAATGCAGGCGAATACGATTGGAAATTGAGACAAAGTAGGTGAAGAGTAGAAAGAAATCACACGAACTGAAGGTAACATCTCATGGGAAGTAAAGAGTGAGCAACATAATCTCTACCAAGTTATATGGGAGAAGGTAACTCTGGAACAGTGAAAATTAGAGTGAAATATACCTAACAAGAACCCCTAATGTTGAGTTTGTTATGAAAAAAAGCAAAAATCAAGAAGTCTAGAAGACAATGGTTACTGCAAAATAAGGTAGGCTTAATCTCTGGGTAGAAAGATTTCACAAACTGTGTTCTTCACAGCATAGTTAACTACTTTTTTATATTAATCGAAAAAGTAATGGTCGGTATCGGTCAAAAATACAGTTGATGAAGATAAATCCATTGCTCATGGACAAACACCCCACTAGTTCGTGTCTCAACTCCCAGTTTTAGATGTGGTTGTGAAGTTGTAAAAACTAAAATTTCCTATTTCAAGAAAAGAGCGAGCAGAACAATTTCCACCCAGTAGGAAAAGAACTTCCAGACAACTGCTGAGAGAAGTTTCTTCCGTGGTAATATTTCCTTTATTTCCGACCAAGAGATTTGGCAGTTCTAGTCGCTCAGGAGGATGTGAGAAAGAAGCATCCTCTGTCCTTGAAAAATATACATCAAGAACTTCTTTTTCAAATGATAATGGACATGTACCTAAGATCATGAAGATGATTTTCCCTTTTCATTCTAAAAGTAAAGCAGGTTGCAATAGCTTAACACCAAACACATCATGACGCAATTAAAAACTGAGAAACTGTTATAATTGGAAATTTGATACCCTATCATCTTAGTTATTGATAATTTGATATTGTATAAGCGGTATAAGAGACAACAAATGAGTGTCACTCCTTTAGATGGGGGTAAGTAAATCTGGATCTTTCTTTATCAAGCAATTCTACAGCCTACAATGCAATAAAAATAGCTAAGAGTACCAGCATAAACTGGTCCGGGGAAGATCTGAATAAACAAAGTATCTCTTAAGGTAGTTCGCTTCAGCTGGACTGCTATTCATGACATTTGTTTGACTTGATGTTATCCCCAGATAAGGGGTACGGTTATGTTTAACAGCTGCTAATGAGTGCCAGAGAGTTGAAGACGCTAATCATTTATTTAGTTGTGTCTCTCTTGACACAGTTATTGAATATGCTCCTTTATACACACAAAGTTGATGATGCCCATGCCTCTAAAGGTAACTTATTTCAGCTGGTAAGGAAGGATTACTGGCAAGCAGCACCAAAAGGGTTAGACCATGATTCCAGTTCGCATTTTTATGAATTGTTCGGAAAGAGAGAAACAACAAATGCTTCAACCCAAGGTTTTAACAGTAATATATAAAATAGAAATAATTATATCTGTTCGCTTATATTGAAATACATACACAACATAGATATGGCATAATACATAAATATACCCTTTAACTTGGATTCAAATCACATTTATATCCTTCAACTTCGGATGTGCACAAATAGACACTCAAACTTGTATAAAGTTAAACAAATAGACACACATGTCCTACATGTCATTTTTTATCCTACGTGGTGTCCTACGTGTATTGTGCCATGTAGGACTCATTTGTTTATTTATTTAAAAGTTGGATAGTTAACGTGTCTGTTTGTGCATTATGAAAGTTGGAAGTCAAAGTTAAAATTTGAAGCTAAGTTTAGGGTCCAATATATGTATTATCCCTAATTAATTTGTACTCTTTAGCTCCTTGCAGGAAGTATAGGGAGCTGGTGTATTTTGTATCCACTTTGAAGAGGTACTTGGTGCTAATGTAGCCAATGTAATGAAATTCTTTTACTTGTCAAAAGAAAGCAGAAATCAAAAGGCTCTAGAAGTTCTGATAAGAAAGTAAGTATATATGATAAACACATGTGAAGGCAACATGCTGCAAGTTACAAATCCAGAGATTTGATAATTATGTGAATATTATAAAAAAGGTAAGCATCACTATATGATGCAAGATCTTTCGTACAACTAGATATATTAGAAATATTAGAATACACTAAGGTGAAAATTCTGAAAAGCTTCCCCAGCATATTACCAAGATAATGATTCGGCAACCATTTCAAGTTGGACAAGAAAAAAAGATCTCATAATTCTATGGTGTACACTTTCACCATCTCATTGAGAAAACAAAACCAACTCTAAATTTCCAAAATAGTACTCCCTTCATTTAAAAAAGAATGACCTAGTTTGACTTGGAACGGAGTTTAAGAAAAGAAGAAGACTTTTTAATTTTGTGGTTCTAAATTAAAGTTATGTCAAATGTACCAAAATGTCGTCTTAAACATGTCACTTGGAAAGTTAAAACAAAATGAAAGGAGTCATTCTTTTTTAAACAAACTAAAAAGGAAATAGGGACACTCTTTTTTAAACGGTACTAACCTTTGAATATACAGAGAATTAGAGTTTTCATCATTTTTCGGTGGTAATCCAACTAGCTGTCTATGTGATACTCACAGAATAAAATTGGCAACTTTACATATACAGTACCAACACTAAAAAAGTTAAGGAAGAAAAATATGAATAGATTTTCAACATGCTCAGCTAAAATGAGATTAGTACTATGTCCACGAAACCTGTCAACAGAACAGAATTTGCAATGTCAGAGCACAGATTCAAAATTGTATCTAACCTGAAAATCATTAACATGTCCTTGACCAGCACTCCTTCCATTTTCCCTCTCATAATCAGCATTATCCGTGGGCAACTCGTGGCGACAAACAGGACATGTATTACGGATATTTAGCCATGGCATAATACAATCACAATGGTAGTAGTGAGAACAGGGCAACCTAGTCATTTTCTCCGTTGACAAAATCTCATCTTTGCAAACTGCACAAGCTGCATTGCTTCCTTTCAAATGTTCATCACTCACGACCACCAAAGGAAGATTTTCCAGCACAGATTTAGCTGTTGGTGGACTACCCTTTAACCTCTCTTGGCTTCCAACAAAATCAACAGCACCAAACCCACCGCCATCTTGAAGTATAACAGCATTGTGAAGTTCAAGGCTCCTTTCGAGATCATTAACCGCCACCAGAAATTCCCATTCTAAATTCCTCGATTGCCCCCCTTCTCCATCTTCACCGAAACCCAAATTTCCTTCTTCAGAAGAGAAATCAGAAGAAACAGAAATTTCTTCCATTCGTCCAATCAGATAACTCATATTGTCCTCCCTCCCTTCAACCCTCTCAACTTCTTCCCACTCTGAATCTTCATCCAAATCCCCCTCATCACCAACCCGAAAACAGTTCCACAAATCCGGCACACTCGAATTGCCAATTTGGTGAATAACCTCCTCGTCTTCTGAATCGGACTCGGAGTCTACCCCAACGACCCGAAGTCCATCAAATTCAAACCCAAGCTCTAGTTCTTCATCGTCTGGCAAAACCCTAGAATTAGAATTGTTGTGAACAACATAGGGATGATCCGTTACTTCGTCATTTCGGGAGTCGAACAAATCGGTTACAAGGTCGGTGCCCGAGTCAAATGAGGGAATAAAGAAGGTGGGATTATAAGGAGAAAAGGAGTATGTGGGGTTCTCCTGTTCGACTTCGTTCTCGCTAAAATTGGTTGTCTGTATATGGAAACGAAGGCTATAATTTTCCGCCATTGAATTGGTAAACAAAAACAAAAGGGAGATTTTTAGCTCAAATTAAGTTTAAGCTCCATTGTTTTGGTTGTTCATATAAACAAGTTGGAAGATACCTTTTGTAATCTTTTTACAAATTTATATTTGGATAGTTTCAAATATATATTATAAAATAAAAATAACACTCTGTACACATTTAAGGTTATATATATCAAGTTATAAACTTACTTTTTAAAAATAAATTACTTATAGCAGATTATTATCGAGTTATAGCATATCAATTAAAAATATATTTAATTAAAAATAAATTATAAGTAATTATTTAAATACTAATTAATATGTTCAAATATTTATTTTTATTTTTTACAACTAACTTTTTATTTTTATTTTTTTAGATAAAATAAAAAGAAAAAAAACGTTTATGTATGAATTGGTAACCAGCACTAATTGTGGGATTTGAATTAATTTTGATTAATAATGAATAATTAACAAATTAGCACATGTTAAGGAATTTAAAAAGGACTTAAATTATTCAGTTTTCTTAAAATGCTCAAATTAGTTTAAATCAAATTAAAACATGATTTTTTCTCTCTTTTTCACATTTTAAAGCTTTTAATATAAATAATAAATTATTATTAATTAAATTTTACATTATATAGTTACCTTTTAAAAAACAAAATCTAAATAATAGGGATTTGATTTTAATTAATTCCCTATTAAACGGTTGCCCAATAACTATCCACCCCATTTCAACCAATACATACATAGACATCTTTCCCCAATACACTCCATCTCTCCCCAACACGCGAAGATATTTTGATCTTTCCCAAATCTTGCCTCACTTGTCATTTC